CCCATCTAGTCACTCAGAAAAAATCAGGACATTCTGATGTAGAGTTTCAAAATAAAAGACCTTTGAAGTCTCATATATGAGCTATCATCCCTCTGTGTTTACATGAGATGATCAGATGATCAGATCAGATCAGATCAGAGGGATGATTTTGAAACTGTACATCAGAATGTCCTGATTTTTTCTGAGTGACTAGATGGGGTGTCCTGCTATCACCCTGAAGTGAAATAAGTCTTTGATACGGGACAGTTTTTGTTTTATTCTCATCTAAACACAGAGGGATGATTTTTTTTGACTCTACCGTAATTCATAGGATATTCGCGCACCGCAATATCACGTGCGGGCTGGCTTGACTAGGTTTTCCCGAGTGGAGGCTGGCTTGACTGCAGTAGTCTAACCGAACATCTGATGTAGAGTTCGGACTGTAGCAGCAACTGTGGTTTTTAGCATATCTTATGAAGGTAAACAGCGGTCGGTGCATGCTATATTTAACGTTTATCTATCTAACATTAGGCCTATACCAGTAACATTACTTCACATGTTACCTTTTTAACAGTAGATGCTACCTTCATGACAATGTTCTTTTCAGGAGTGCTCCAAAATCAAGATTGATAACTAAGTCAATATAATGAGATATTAAGTCAATATAATGAGATAGTAAGTCAATATAATAAGATAGCTAAGTCAATATAATGAGATATTAAGTCAATATAATGAGATAGCTAAGTCATTATAATGATATAGTAAGTCAATATAATGAGATAGTAAGTCAGTATGGTCATAAAGCTTTAACAAAAATAAATAATACAAAAATAAATAAAGAGGGGGCGGAGCTTATGCCTGCTCATGCGGGAGATTTCTACCGGCAGATACTGCCGTGATGAAACGTCCAAACCACATCAAGGATTATTTCTGAAACAGTATCAAATGTTTTTTCTCTTGCCGGTTTACCACAAGGTGAGTTCCTTTTTATTTCCTGCTTCTTCACACATACTCTCTCCAGTACAGGTTAGCTCTGAGTGTTAGCGATGCTTGCTAATGTAAACAAAGACCATATTACGTCCAAAACAGTCGGGCATTGTTTCTGATAGCAACGTTTCTGATAGGGCCGTGGGTCCGCATTGCCGATATTACATCATATCGGGCGCAAATCTGGATCAGCTCCGTTGTTCCCCGTTTTTAGAGATTTGGGTACAGAGGAAAAGAGAGAAGGTGTTATTTTTCTGACGCTGTGTTAGTTCCGTGACACACCGGGGACACAAATTTATGTATAAAAGACATAAAAAAGTGCATTTTGCATGATAAGTCCCCTTTAATATAATTGCTTTCACCTAACCTAATACAGTTTTGTGAAATGTGTTGACATAATACATTTAATTAAACTCAACTTTTCAGTTTTTTCAGTGTTACATATAATTAAGTTTGCTCAAATAAACTAAACAGTCTCTTTATTCATAATGAAAAACGTGTGTTTCCCCCCCGCAGATGACATAACAGTCTTCAGCCCATCGACATTCTTCATTGTAATCCACACCAAATACGGGCTTGATCTTGAGATTCAGCTAAAACCCATTATGCAGGTCTACATCAAAGCCAGTGTTCGAAATAAAGGAAAACTCATGGGTTTGTTATACTTCTTATAGTAATAGTGTAAAACATCCACATTTTGCAATGAATGTTTTATTAAGTGTTAAGGAATCATATCTTGTCCAGGTCTTTGTGGAGATTTTAATGATGTGGAAGCTGATGACTTCAGAACCACAAATGGATTGATTGAGGGAACAGCGTCGACATTTGTCAACACATGGAAGACTAAGCCAAGCTGCCCAGATGTTACAAACATAATTGGGGACCCCTGCACATCGAGCATAGACAAAGGTAGGTCACATACATAGTACTTTATATTTCAATATCATTTTCTCAATGTAACCAAATAAATATGTTTATTTGTGTTTGTAGAGAATTATGCCAAGCACTGGTGTGGGATGCTGTCAGACCCAAAAGGGATTTTTGCAAAGTGTCATTCTGAAATAAACCCAGAAGACTATCAGGAAGTAAGCAGATCTTGTTTTGTCTGCAGTCTAATCTATGTGTTCATGTGTTAGGGTTATTTTACATACTTAACATTTCTCTCCGCAGTCTTGTATTTATGACACCTGTGCCGGTCATAGCAGTGAGGAGTGCATGTGTGCTGCTATATCCTCTTATGTCCATGCATGCGCTGCTGAAGGCATCCTGTTCAAAGGATGGAGGAACACCATTTGCCGTAAGTTAAACCCAAACTTTAAAATGTGAAATAAAAAAAATCCTTATTCATTTATAATATTTAAACAAGTGAACCTGTTTCCTTTGAAAAGAGCGCTACGCAACTGGCTGCCCTGCTACTTTTGTGTATGAATACGAAATGACAAGCTGTCGTCGCACCTGCCGCTCTCTTAGTCAGTCAGACTTAACTTGTGGCATTGAGTTTACCCCAATGGATGGCTGCGGCTGTGCCAAAGGAACTTTCCTGAATGACCGGGATCAGTGTGTGCCAGCCTCACATTGCTCTTGCCAGGTGGGAGACACGCTGGTGCACCCAAAGCAGTCTATCACAGTCAATGGAAAAACCTGGTGAGGATTTCAAAATGTCCTTTAATATTCCAGCAAAACAATATTTTCGTATGATTGTTTTTATTTTATTGTTTTAAGTAAGCTGATGGGTCCAATTTGTCATATTTTAAAGTCTAATGTTTATCTAGCGCAGGGTTTATTTTTGATTTTACAAGTGCAGTTTCCCACAAGTAGATCGCTTGAACATCATGGCAGTCCCTTTAGGTCCTCCAGTGCTTTTTGCAAAGATCCAAACAGTTGCTACAAGGCAACATTTGATTCCACTGAAAGTGAACATTAACCAACAGTGTCTTGTAGCAGTGAAGTAGGCTACTGCTTGTAACAGCCATAGCTAGATTATAGCAACCCAAAAAATCATGAATCTAATGTTTTTATTTATTTTTTCTTAATTATTTTGACTATTCACATGCTATGCTTTAAATACAGTTTATGTAAGCCTACATTTGTTCTAATTTCTGATGTATTGGATCTAATGTTGTTGGTTTTTAGTTTGTAATTGCAATGCTTGCAATACCTTATATTTCTTCAGTTGAATTTGCACTTTTATCTTAATTGTGTTGGTTCAGTGGACATCTGGGTTTGACCGATTGTTTTTTTTCTCTCAAGGCTTTGGTTTTATCCCTAAATCCAAACCCTTGACCTGTCAGCTCAGTATGTGCTAAATAGTCACCAGCTTTCCTGGACAACCAAGTTAGCCAAAGTGTGTAACCTTGATTTGGACATAAGAGAACTACACGTCCTAAAGGCCAAACATGTTTGGGACCACTGTCGTAAACCACTGTTTCTTCATTAACAAAAAATTGAGCAGAAACTAGCAAGTTTTAACTTTGTGTGTTCTATACATTTCAGCGTGTGCCTTAGTGGAACACTGAATTGTAAAGGAATACATACAGAAGAATGTAGGTACCATCACTCATCTTAATATTCCATCTGTTGCAAAGCACATTATGAGCTACACCAAGCCTTCAGTGGTGTAATTTCTAACACACTATCATTGTCATCAGCATGCAAAAAGCCGATGGTTTACTTCAACTGCTCCAGCTCAAAGCCACGTGAGAAGGGATCCGAATGTCAAAAGAGCTGCCAGACTCTGGACACAGACACATGTGTAAGATTATATTGTGGTTCATGACTACTGTTGAATATTCTATGACTACCATCTCTATAATGCATTTTTATATACTTATAATGGGTCAGGGTTTTTTTTCGCACCGTATGTTCATAATTATATAAGCACTACTAAAATAGGTTTAAACAGGATTAGTAATAATAACACATTTTAAAGCATTTTTTTGGGTCTGGGTCAAGTATCATTATACTTTAGTATTTCGGGTTAATCAATGTTTAAGAGAAGAATCTGGGTCTTGGGTTACTCAGGACATTATCCTTAGCCAGTTATAAAGACTGATAGAGAACTGCTCTAATGTATGATACCACATTTTTGATTTGAAGTTTCTGAAAAAGGAATACTGTCTTACAAACATCAATAACATGCTTTTAGCTTCATCTGTATAAGGTTGCACACAATCATGATATAATTGTTAGCTGCGTGTGCTGACTACAAGTAAAGGCTAACAAATACGAAGATAATCAGATAATCAAAGACTCATCAATGCTTTATTATCTGAAACTAAACAAATGTTATCACAATGATCATTATGTAATTAAAAATATATATACAATGGATTCAAACTATGGGAATTGGAATAAACTATGATAAAAAAATAGCAAGACAAGTAAATCCAGTGAGTGAGCAGCAATTATGAAGTAATGTGATACAGAATGTTACTTTATAAAATGCTTTTTAATATGCGATGGCTATTGTTATATATCGTTATGAATATTTTCGATATTTCCGCTTACTTATTAACTAAGTATAAGGTGCCAAAATCAGATTTTACTGCACTAAGTATGATATTGAATGCTGTATAGACATGAGTTTCTTGGAAAGTGTTACCAAATGTTCTATAAATGTGTCCTAAAGCAGCAGGATGACATGTTAAATACTTTGCTGTTACATTGTATAGGCCAATACACATTGTATGTCAGGCTGTGTATGCCCAGCCGGCCTGGCGCTTGATGGTAAAGGAGACTGCATAAAGGAACAGAACTGTCCCTGCACACATAATGGAAAGTCCTTTCAATCTGGAGAGAATGTCACTGTAAACTGCAATACCTGGTGAGTCCTTTCATTCTTTTCATACTAAAATAGCGCTGTGTCAATTCACTGTTGTCTTTTTTTTAGCTATGCATGATATATATCTGGCTTGGTGAAAAAAAATGCATTAATGTCTTAAAATGTCTTTGCGGATATATAACTTAACATAACTTCATTTACCTATAGTACTTGCAAAAGCAGAAAATGGACATGTACAGATCATGAGTGTGGTGGATTCTGCACCATATATGGAGATAGCAATTACATCACTTTTGATGAGAAGAAATTCTCCTTTAATGGGGAATGTAGCTACATCTTCACTCAGGTATTGCACTGACCTATATTCAGTCTTATCAGTTTGTCAAACAAATCTGTCTTGTAATATAATCATCAATATCTTGCAGGATTACTGTGGAGAAGACATGAATGGCACCTTTAGGGTCCTAACAGAGAGCATCCCATGTGGTGGGAGTGGAACCATTTGCTCCACTGCTATCAAGCTTTACTTAGGGGTACTTAACACTATATTTCATTATTATGGTATACATTTGAAATGCATTTTTTAAATACTGAAAATAACATTGAAGAATTACAAAAGAGTATGTTCTTTTGCTTTTTCAGAACAACGAAATCATTCTTTCAGAGGAAAGTGTCAGAGTTATCAAACAAAGCAAAGGGGAAGACATACCATATAAGGTCCACACTATGGGTATTTATCTTGTCATTGAGGCAAAGAATGGACTTGTTCTTATGTGGAATAAGAGGACAACACTCATGATCAAACTCAAGTCAAATTTCAAGGTGGGTGACGAGATATACAGTTGTTCGGCTAAATGATAATAAGGATGCCCCCTCATTAATGCAACAATATAAATTAACCATATCTCGCTTTTCCCAGGGAAAAGTCTGTGGTCTGTGTGGGAATTACGATGGAAATATCAAGAACGATTTTACCACCAGAAACAAAGGAGCTGTGGTTGACGCCCTTGAGTTCGGAAACAGCTGGAAAGTGTCACCTAATTGCCCTAATGCAAAAACAGCAAAAGATCCCTGCAGTATGTACTCATACAGGAAGGCATGGGCATCAAAACACTGCGATATTATCAATAATGAAGTATTTGCTACTTGCCATTCGAAGGTAAGAGAACTGCCAATTAACTAAGATAGATAGATGGATGGATAGATAGATAGATAGATAGATAGATAGATAGATAGATAGATAGATAGATAGAGTGTGCTTACATTTACAATTGCTTTGTTCAAAAGGTGGATCGAAAAAAATATTATGACGCCTGTGTGAGAGACACGTGTTCCTGCAACACAGGAGGAGACTGTGAGTGTTTCTGCTCTGCCGTCGCAGCCTACGCAGCAGCCTGTAACGAGGCCGGAGCGTGTGTGAGATGGAGAACTCCCACAATCTGCCGTAAGTGTTTTATTGGTGTTTCTGTGAGACGATGAACTGCATCACCTTTTGTCAGCATCCCCTTTGTCGTTTCAATTGTTGAATTTACAAATAAAGCCTGACTCTCATATCCTTTTAAAGATTTGATTCACTATACAGTATAGTAATCTTTTCTTGTACGTTGTTATTATTTTTTTTCTATTTTCTTTTGTTTCATTAGCTATATTCTGTGATTTTTACAACCCTGATGGAGAGTGTGAATGGCACTATAAGCCTTGTGGAAAACCATGTATGAAGACATGCAGAAATCCCTCGGGAGAATGCTTCAACCACATTCCAGCATTAGAAGGTAGGTAGAAATGAAAGTAAAAATGTATGTATCTCTAAGTTTGTAAATACAGAGTTGAACATTTGTTTTTTTCATACAGTTTCACCACTCAAATATTCTAACATGGTTTAGGCTAGTTCCAATATGTACCTTTTGTGTGGTAGTACAGCATTTTTTACAGTAACATTTAACTTTTTAAGGCTGCTATCCAAATTGCCCGTCTGAACGACCTTATTTCGAAGAGGATGACATGAAGTGTGTGTCAAATAAGGAATGTGGCTGTTATGATGACGAAGGGAATCACCATGAAGAAGGGAAGCTTTGGCCTTCAAAAGATAACTGTCACAACTGGTAAGTCACTTTCCATGTTATTAATGATGCATTGGTGCAAAAGTAAATGATATCACTTGAACTGTTTTCACAACAGATAGCATAAGGCAGCAATATACACAATATAATTTATTCATGCTGTTCAGACGTACATTACATTACATATCATTTAGCTGACGCTTTTATCCAAAGTGACTTACAATAAGTGCAAAAACCATAAAGAAACAAACAGGAACAACAAGGAAAGTGCAGATATATTTAATTCAAGCAAGATTATACCATAGTAAGTGCTGGTGAATCAGATACAAGGCCTAAGTTAAAGTTACCTAAAGTTTTTTTTTCAGCAATAACTTAATTTCCAAGGTACAGTCGAAATAGAAGCGTAAACAGTTTGCGACGGAAGATATGCAGAGTTTTTGCTGTCCTGATGTCAATGGGGAGCTCATCCCTCAATTTAGGAATCAGGATAGCAAACAGGCGTGTTTTTGAGGGGTAGCTGGGTCCCACTCGCAGTGATGGAGTAGCGAGTCTATTGGCTGATGCCGAGCGTAGTGCATGTGCTAGAGTAGATGGTTGAAATAAGGCCTGGATGTATGAAGGAGCTAGCTATAGTGACTATGTAAAATTACTTTATTTCAGCAATAGCAATTATTTCTTATTTCTTTCTTTGAAGTAAAATCATTTTTCTGAATAAGTTGAAGATCCTACTGTCACGTGTTGTCTGTTAATTGTGTTACTAAAGAGTTGCTTAACCTTTGTATTATAAAATAGCCATTATCCTCAAATACTTCTCTTGTTTTTAGGGAACAATAAAAGTTGCCATAAAATCAGGAACAATCTCATGTTGCTTATCACAGCCTCACATGTACCTTTATTTTCATATAAAAGGAGGAGCTCTAATCAGTACTTTGGTCAGGCCCTTTAAACAATGGCATCTGTATTTGTTGCCTTGGAGACCTGGTGTTTTGGATGGAGACACATTGGCAATTTTTGTATGGAACTGTGCGTACTATTAAAGGCATGCCTCATGCTGTGGTACACGTTTGGAATAACTATTTATTATTAATAGGACAGCTATTTACACAGGATCTGCCATGTCTAAATCACATCACGGACCTTCACAGTGCGCACCACGGCAATTAAAAAATGCTCATAAAACAGATAAACGTCTCCTTCAAATGGCTGTTAATACAATCACTGGTGTACAGTTAATAAAGAAGATCAGTATAGGCTAACTTGTTATTCTCTCTTGGCGACATTATCTTATTTTAGCTGGTCAATAAAATGAAGACTAAAAGAGAAAAATAAAGAAAAGCATAAATAAATAGCATTTTTTAGTGTAACTTCTCTTACATAAAATAAAGTTTATAGAACACAATTGGCGATGCCTACATTCATGCCATAACGTGCGTTTTCTTCCAGCTGGGCACATTGTTGGTTAACAAGATACCAAACCTGTGGGCAGGGAAGGAAAAAACAGAAAAGATCTGTGCACCAATATCAAATGGTTGCCTTTATGTTAATGTATTATGTTTAAACATATTCTTTTTTTTATTTACCTTTAGTAAATGTTCTTCAACAAAAGTGAAGTGCTACTATGATAATCTAGGTAAGTTTTGCTATGACCACTTCTTTAATTGATCACAGAATAAAGTTTAATGAGAAAGGTAATTGTATGAATCTATTAAATCATAAAAGATTTTGATAATCCTTTTAATAAAAAATGTTTTGCAGCTTGCAATTGTTACTATAACGGGCATATTTACAAGTATGGAGAGACTGTCTATGAGACACATGATGGAAATGGAACCTGTTTAAAGGCTGTTTGTGGAGAAAAAGGAAATATTATCAGAACCACAGAGACTTGCCCTACAACTGCACCATCCACAACATTTAATTTTACGAGTGGTAAGAGACTTTTGAGAGGAATAGGTGTTGAATAAAAATATTTTGAACCTTTTAAAGTCAACCTTATGATTAAATCCAATTTGTTTTTGGCCATCACAGAAAAATCAAGAACAACCACACAACATCCTACCACAGCAACATCACAAACGTCTCATCATCCAAGTGTCACAACTGAGGCTGTGACAGCGATTACGACATTCTCGATACCGATGGCTTCTACGAGGTCTAAAACAACAGTTCTATCATCAAGACCCAGCTCCAAAGCTACCACTGTCACAGTAAAATCCAGCACAACATCAACATTCACAGAAAACCCTACCACAACCATTATAGTCACTGAAAAGCCCAACACAACAACCCCTGAAGTTATTACGAATACAGTTGCTAAAGCAACGCCATTAACAGAACCTGTGATTAAGCTCACAAGTACAACACCCACAGAAAAACCCACCGCAACACCCACAGAAAATCCCACCACTACCACCACCATCACAAAACCACCAACCACAATAACAGAAAAACAGACCACGACATCCATAATCACAGTAAAACCCACGACAACCACTAAAGTTACCGAAAAACCCACCACAATACACATAGAAAATCCCAGCACTAAAGCTACCNATGTCCATAAACTCAAGTTGTACATTCTTCATCTTTCTGTCCATAAAACACTAAGTTGTACATTCTTCATCTTTCATGTCCTAACACAAGTTGGTACATTCTTCATCTTTAATGTCCATAAAAAATTGTACGAAAACTCTTCATCTTTCATGTCCATAACACAAGTTTACATCTTCATCTTTCATGTCACAAACTCAAAGTTGTACATTTTTCATCATCTTTCATGTCCATACAACTCAAGTTGTACATCTTCATCCTTTCATGGGTCCATAAACACAAGTTGTACATTCTTTCCATCTTTCATGTCCATAAACTCAAAGTTGTACATTATTCCATCTTTCATGTCCATAAACCCAAGGCTTTCACATTCTTGCAGTTTCAGTTTTTCAACAACTTTTTATTCATAACCTTATTTCAAACTATGGTCTCTGTACATGAATTCAGAGAGTCTTTTCTTCATAAACATGAGGTGATGAAGGGTGGAGACTTTTGTTTAGTAAATACCTACCTACCTACCTAACTACCTACTACTACCTACCTACTACCGTACTACCTACTACCTACCTACCTACCTACCTACCTACCTACCTACCTACCTACCTACCTACCTATACCTACCTACACAAACCTACCTACCCTACCTACCCTACTACCTACCTACCTACCTACCCTACCTCCTACCTACCTACCGACCCTACCGCTACCTACCTACCTACCTACCTACCTTACCTACCTACCTACCTACCTACCTACCTAACCTACCTACCGTACCTACCTACTCTATCTACTCATCTATCTATTGATCTATCTATCATCGTATCTATCTACGTATCTATCTATCATCTATCTATCTATCTATCTATTATCTATCTATCTATCTATCTATCTATCTATTCTATCTATCTATCTGCATATATCTATCCTATTATCTTCTAATCTATCTATCTATCTATCTATCTATCTCCTTACCTACCTACTACCTACCTACCTCTACCTACCCTACCTACCTACCTACCTACCTACCTATTCTATCTATCTATCTGATTACTATTAATTACGTTGAAACCCTTTGATAGTTTATAACAATTACACTGTAATTATAACCATATGAATTTATAATGTACAAGGGACTCCGTTACTTTCCCAGTTTCGTACAACGTGTGTAGTATTTTTAGTGATGTAAGAGAGAAATTTGACAGTTATATATACAATTACTATTCAGGTTGTCATTTATAACTATTCATAACAACACCTAATGAATGTTTTTCTTACTGTACACACACCTACATCATCGGGTACTAATAAAGACACTACCCGTGGTAGTTTTCTTTCGGACTGCACCTCTCGCTGTCACTCTAGAACGGGACACACCAAAATAAGGTCACACCTATGCGACTTATGGTTTCTCATGCTGGGTCGTAACACTCGAAACTATCTGCACGTACAACGATTCGTCCTTGAGGTTCGAGACGTGCAATGTATAAGAGCGGCGCACTTCTAGGGTTGTCCTATACATAGGGGCTTTCGACCTTCTATTTGGAGAAGCATACTTAAAGACTACATAATTTCTACTTCGACGCGTCAGTCTATAGGTGATTCACTCCTTACCATAACTCAATTGACTACGAAGTACAAATTTATTGTACAGTTATTCAAGCACAGGTGTCTCCAACCATGACTGTCTCGTGCCAGATTATGTCAACGAGAACAATTTTAAATAAAACAACAAACTCCTTAGGTGACTCGTACGCAAAATTACACTTTACGTAATAAAGGACTATCGATCCTATTAATGTTATACGATACATGTCGCTCGTGTCTGGTTTATATTTAGACTGAAAGTTAGGACAAGAAATCTTGTCTAATTAGAGCAATACAAATTTTTACTTTTTACTCTTATGTAGTTCGATAAACTAGGCCAAAATTATTAACGTACAAAATCACATCTCCATTGCAAGTTCGAATCTACGTCTAAGAAATTCTCGAAGAAACCCCTGACCTTATACTAAGTGCCTATATTCTTAGTTCCACTCTTACTGCCGTGCTCGAGAGTCGTCCATACTCTTTCGTGTCGCTAAAAGGGTTTGGGTACATAAGTTATCTATATAGTATTCACTACTACGCAAGTCACATCTTTCTATCTGTGACAACCCCAATAACGAAAGAGTTAGTTTGCCTCCAATAGTCCAATAAGTTACTCTACATTGAAGTCGTACACACGATGAATACGGTGAGGACAAGGGAATACCCTAGTTTGAATTATAAAGCAAATTAAGAACGTAAAAAATAATAATTAATAATGTAACAGGTGAACAATCTGCGAAAAGGGGTGTCCTCGTTAACCCCACTTCACCAGAGTCCCTGTGTTTCCTGTACGACTCGGTCACCTTGAGCTTGAACGATGGGGGTGAACTAAGGTCAGGTCGCGTGACTGGGTGACTCGGTGTCGAGTAGGATAATACATTTCCTTTCATTGAAGTCGAACTATTTCTAAAATTTTTCTTTCAATATGTAGTACACTCTACATGAGAACTCGAGAAGTTCTCTCTTGTATTTTTTCGTCCATACGACTCCAAAAGAATTAACTTACCGTCACACCACACCTAACTAAAACCTTCGTACTGAAATGACAAGTTGCTAGCTAAACTTCTATACTGTCTAATCATAGAAGTGTTGTAACATATTATTGTACAACACATAACTTATTATTACAAGAAGTAACCTCCTTATCATGCGACAACCCGACTAACGCAGAGTTAGTTTGTATCCAATAACTTACTCTACATTGAAGCTCTCCTGACACTACCGATTAACTATAAAGGACAAATTAAAACACCAAAGCAAAATAAATAGTTCCCTTTACATAATGCAATGCTGCTACTATCTATACTATAAATTTTTCGAAAAATGCTCGACTCAGTACACTACTGCAGGCCGTCTGTCGACTAAAGACTTCACATGTTGCAAAACAAAACAACGTTATTCTGGCCAACACGTTTCTCTAACGTTACATAACCTATAAGCCACCCCTTGAAGACTTCGTTAACCGTCAGTCCTGAGAATGGAGTAAGTGTGGTTGCGTTTGAGGCCAAGTTCAGGCACGTCTCGAAAAGTCCAAGTCTGGCCAAGAAGCCCAATCGAGGCCGAGAAAAGTGTGGCGGGTCTCCCAGGCCTGACCACGACGCAGTAACTGCAGTAGCAATACGCACTGACAGGCGAAGTATTTCGTTAGGGCCCGCCTTTGGGGAGCGTGTAACACGAGTCGAGGAGACATGGCAGAGCTCTTTGGTCTGAAGGGTCACAATCGAACCAGAGACAGCTCACCTGGATGACCAGACGAACAATACAAACAGCGACAGATCCACAATGTTCATGACCTATTCTTGCAGCCTCCCATTGAACACAAATACCTGTACTTTCTACTTCTTACATGTTGAACTCAAATACCTGTACTTTCTACTTCTTACATGTTGAACACAAATACCTGTACTTTCTACTTCTCACATGTTGAACTCAAATACCTGTACTTTCTACTTCTTACATGTTGAACACAAATACCTGTACTTTCTACTTCTTACATGTTGAACTCAAATACCTGTACTTTCTACTTCTCTCATTTTCCAAACAGGCTGGTTCCTTTAGTTTGAATGTGTGTTTGGTGGCGTGATCATTATTATTTAGAGACATTGCGTGCCTATTGATTTGAACACGATCCGTGTATCTATCATTTCCTGGTCTTCTCTAAAGAAGAGGGACCAATGAAAACGTTGTCATGTTGCCGTTGGTCACCATGGAAACATTCATTAGCTAACAATGACATTATTGTTCTATTAATATAAAGGGAGGTCAGGTACTCTTTAAAACAGCTGCTAGTTATGGGTACTTTTTACTGAAGTACATTTCAAAGCCTTTTTACTTTGACTTGTAAAGAAGTTTAGTCAGTACTTCTACTTTCACCAGAGTATTTTTAAACACGAGTATCTGTACTTCTACTTGAGGAAAGGATGTGTGTACTTTTCCCCCTTTTTTTTGTTTTTCTTCAAATTAGCCAATGAATGAATGATTTATTGTAAGTTGCAGCACTACTACCTTCAGCTCTGTTTCTATCCTGCTGGGTTGTTGAACACTCCCAAAGCTCTCTGAGTTTGAGCTCTATTAATCACCTCTGTGATCGTTGATGTAGGCCAAGTGAGTTTCTTTTTGGCGTGTAAGCACTATCACCTCATCCTCCAACCCAACCAGGAAATCACACATGTCAGCAGCCTCAATGGAGTCTGCTGGATGCGGAGAGGAGGGATCAAAGCCTCGCAGGGCACCGGCTCATTGCCACTGGGCCCCATTAACGCTTCCTCTCACTGCGATTTCTCTCGCTCGTCTCTCATCTTCAAAAGACCCGTCTCATCCGGTTCTTCTGCACGGTGCATGGCAACAGACGGGATGGGACACAATCGTATGAAGTAGAAAAAAGCGGGGTGTGTGGAGGATATAGAGGCAATAGTATTTCAAAGGAGTGTGAAATGTGAATAAAAAACAGAATGCATTATGGGGTGGGGGGTAAACCAAATCTGTCGTTTATTTATTTGATTTCTCTCTTAAGCTGAGTTGCTGCAAGGTTGGACTTTTTTGTTGACGGATCTGAATTGAAATTAGCGATGTCCCGATCATCTTTTTTTGCTCCCAATGCGATTTTGACAATTTGCCGATACCGATTTTTCCCGATCCGATCTTTATGCAATGCATTAAGAGGAAAAAAAGCATTCAAGTTGTCCCTTAAGGTTATTTTTTTATTTAAATTGGATATTCTATCCAACATGGATATAGCTTCTTTCTTTCACAGCAGCATTGGATCAGTTCAGTTGTGCAGCATTGGATCAAAACAAAATAAAGCTTATCAGTACTCGTTAGCTTACTGCTACAATCAGACACTGCGCCCTGCCCACTCTGTTGCCAGATTTGAGAGAAATAAGCAACCAGGTCTATGAAAACAAGCCCCAAAGAA